TATTCAATTTATAATCAAAACATGTACCATCAAAATGAGGATGTGATTTCAGACAGAAGTCAAGAAAAAATTGCTTTTCATTTCTAATTTCTAGCTAGTTTTGATGAAATTACAAGTGTTACTGATTTAAAATGGCTTTTGTTACTGTCCAATAATTGTGTATACCTTCGCCTGTTCTTTACACAGAGACAAGGCAGTTTCATCATGTATTTGACTAAATAACCTTAATCTGAGTACATTGGCCCTGATAGTGCTTTGTTTTGTGTACAACCCTATATCATATCATATTCCAATGTATCTAACATGTATCTAACATGTCACAAGTTGAGTAACATGTAACAGCACAACTTCATTTATTTACTTTTTTTTCAAAATGTCCAAGGACCTTTATTTATTTTAACTATTATAATCATAATTACTGTTATTATCATCATCTAATTTGTATTAGCTGTTTTCATTCAAAATGAATAACATGTATTGGGAGCTATCAGTGGGGATATGACTGACTTTGCATTGAATCAATTGAGTTTTAAACTAAATAAATCATAAAACTATGAGAAATAATGGACTTTGTGTGACGGTGACGTTACCGGCTGACTCCCACACAGCTTCAGTCACCACTGAAGAACAACAGCCTCTGTGTTTTCACTCCCTGAGGTCACAATCAGACACTTCCTTTATGTGCACATTTACACAAAGAGAAAACATACCATTCTGCTGCTGCAGCCAGGGCAGAAGAATGGCCCCTGGGCACAGACATGAAGAATTAACAGTCGTGTTGCGTCTCTTTGTAGTCGTTAATGTCTTTGGAGTTGTCTTATGTCACTATTTGTAGTTCTTTGGGGTCTTAGGTCATTTTTGTTGGATTTTAATTGGTCAAATATAAGCAAAATTAATAGCATCTTTTTTAAATATTGCCTTTTTGTCAGAGTGACTTAACGTGACATTTGATGTTGGGTGTCTTTGAAGTAATTTTTGTTGCTTTCTAGATGTTTTCGGTGTTGTTGCATTGTGACTCTTTGTAGCCTCTTTGAGTCTTTGTGGTTGCCAACTCTCTTTGTGGAATTGTTTGGTGTCTCTGAAGTATGTTATGGCCCTCCTTGTTTGAATGTCATGTGTCTTTGTTGTTGAGTGTCTGTTTGAAGTCATTTCATTTTTACTCTGTATCTTTGTAGTTGTTTTTTCTCCGTGCTTAGTTTGTGTCTCTGTTGTTTTGTATCATTTTGTCGTCTTTTATGTCTTTTTGTAGTTGTTTGGTGTCTCTTTTAGAAATGTATGTTTGCCTTGAAGTTGTTTTGTATTTCTTATTGTCATTTTGTGTGCCTTTTTTTCGTGCTTCTGTGAAGTCATTTTGGTTTTTTCTCTGTATTCGTTATGTGTCTCTTAAGTTGTTTACCCTTCTTGTGTAGTCATTTTGTGTGGAGAACTTTCACGCCGCATATTAAGAATTTAACTAATCTTGTTGTGCGCAACAGGTTGATGAGAATTATAAAACAACAACACAGAGGCTCTGTGTCCAAACCAAAACAGCAAACCTCATTACGAGAGCCCTAGACATAAAATATTCACACAGGAGTTCAACACTTTTCTGTTTTTTATTGATCACCTCATGTTTCAAGACTTGTCTGTTAAGCTGTACAACCTACCAGAACAAACTGATGGTCAGAAGATAAACATATATACATGCAAAATCATCCAGCTGACTCTTGTGATTCTATACTCAGGAAACCATGACAAAAACATTGAAATGTGACTTCAAATTGGTAGAAGGCGGCTTGTTCGTCTCAGTGTGTTCAGCCTAAATCAGCCGGATGAAATGACCCATGTGTCAAACATCACATGAAGCCATGTGAAGGCGTCACGCCCAATTTAGTCTTCATGTTGCCCCCAAATATAGACGCCCAGTCTATCGCATGTTACAGCAGCGGTGGGCACATTCCTCAGGCATTTTAAGGCCCTGAAACACCAGGACGATTTCGGCCGTTTTCGTAAGTCGGAAGACGAAGCGTGTCCTGTCGCCCAAACTCAATTTGGTGTGTCCCGCACCGGCGGCCGTGACACGCCTTATTTGGACTGCCTGACCCGATGCATGGCCGATTCAACATGTTGAATCACGTCGGACCAAGCGATCACTCTGATTGGCTGTTCAGCTAGCGAATCAGTGCATGAGAAGCGAAACGGAAGTGAGGGACGTAAACAAACGATTTAAGAAGTCACACACAGACTGATATTCATTTTCATCTCATCATGGCGATCTGGAATGACGCAAACGAAGACCTGCTCTTCCGCTTCTTGAGAGACTGTTGCTTGAGAATGTCTTCCACAAGTAACACTGCAATGGCTGATAGCTCCAGCGCCGCACGAAACATGTTTTCGATGGACGAGAGGGAAAATGGAACGCACACGCTATTTGTTGTTGTTTATATCACGCAGTCTGTTCTTCTTCTCTGTCGTCCGGTTGTTGCCTCTTTTGAATGACGAATACACACTACCGCCGCCTGCTGGTAAGGAGAGTTATTGCCACTCACGCACTGAAGTCTTTGCGGTGTGTTCCCGTGCGACACATGGCCAAGACGCAGGAGAACACGGCGACGCAACAGCCGGCGCCGGCGAGTCCTCTGGTGACTGCTTGGTGTGTCAGGGCCTTTAAAGGTCAAACAACGTCTGCAGACTTACTGTGTTCTGCTACTGCTGCCATATGAAACTGATTTGCATTTTAACATCAGGAGCACAAAACATAAAATATGCCACTGTGTGCACAAGCAAATCTAGTCATCAACTGCTGCATGAAGAAAAAAGAAGATGACTTTATTTGGGCATCATCAACCATAAAGAGGCCAACATCTACGACTAGAGAGACAAGCTTCGACCTGAGGATGCAAATTTCAAAGAACTTCCTCAATCGATTTCGGGATGAGTTAACAATGAAGAGCTGCTGCACACACAGGGCATGTTTTTGTATAATAACAGCGTTTTTATCATCTTACGTGTCCCGCAAATGCTGCCAAACATAAACCGGTATGAGAAATAGAGTTAGACAGGATGAATTAACATGAAAATACTAACAGCTTATTCATAATAATAATAATAGATTTAATTTGTTAGCGCTTTTCCAGGTGCTCAAAGACGCTTTACAGATATAGTGAAGGGAAAAGAAAAGGATTATTATATTTATATTGACTTATTGTCAATAATTGTATAAATTCAAGCAAAAAACTAAACAGAAAAGCTCAATTTTTTTCCTATGCTTTCATAGTGGAAATGATATGTCAATTAATCAATGAAGTTTATATATATGTATATATGTGTGGATTTTTTGGTTGCAATTCAACTTATGTTAACAAGTTCAAAATGATAAATTCGATAGAAATGCTATACAGAGTAAAACATAACTGACACGAATAACTACCTTCTTTTTTGGAATATTACTTTTCTTGATAAACTGTAAAAAAAAAGTGGAAAACGTAAATATGAATCAGTAATGAAGTATTAAATGTCTAGTATTGTTGCAATCCCAAATATGGCCAGTATATAATGAAAAAAATATCTAACATTGCAGAAGTTTGAACCAGAGAATGGTCTTGCGGTTAAGTCCTTCAAATAACTCGAATATTATTCAGCTTTATCGTTTTTATTTTAATACCGTTAGAAAGCAAACCTGTTTATAGCGTTAGCTCTGTTAGCATTAGTTGTGCTTTCCGCTGTCTGACAATACAATGCTAACATGCTAATGTTTAGCAAAAATAAGGTTATCCATGTTAGCATGCTAACATTAGCTAATAAATATTGCACGTAAAGTCATTAGTTCTTTGCTCATTATCCAAATAAATTGTCTCATTCAAATGTAGACTTGATGATTAGAGCTGCAAAAAGTATTTGGCTCATGGATATGTCTATAGAAAAATAACCGGTAAATTATTTTGAAAACGGTTTCCTGCAGGAAAGTCTTTAATTGAGTTTTCAGCCTCTCTCTGGGTTGTGGACTAAGAACAAAAGACATTTAGAGACAACATCTTGGAAAAAACGTTTTTCTAAAACTAATCTTTAGATGAATCAGTTTATATCAGAATAAAAGTCAGAGGAAATGTCTTCACAATGCATCCCGTAGTTGGTTTGTTAGTGCACAGTGCACAGCAGTATTTTGATGTTGTTACTGTATGTGCAGTATATTTACAGTGTGAACCAAAAGCATTACTAAAAAATGTGTTATTTAATATGTACCTTTTGTCCTACAATATGGAAGAGTTAACGCATTTAATTATTAAATCTCGTAATTTATCTTTGCTTTCTTTGTTTTGTTTTTCCTATGTAATCTTCTCCCTTTGTTCCCTGTTTTTTAATGTTTGTATTTCTTCTTCCCAGTGTAAAGGAGGGGGCGTGTCTAGGTGGTGTTACTCATTACTTAAGTTACAGTCGGTAACTTAACAATTGATTTGTTTTCAAACTAACCTGCACAATCATATGAAAACTAAGGCTTAATGTAACATTTCTTTCTTTATTATATCACCTGAAATATCATAGCGGAGTATTGTTAACACAATTTTCCAAATATGGATTCATCAGTTAATTGATTTGAGTTCAACCAAAATGCTGAATTCCTCTCCAATGCCAATGCATACTCATTATATTTGCATTTCTACTGCAAGTCATCAAAAAGTAAGGAATGTACACCTTTATTACATTTTACCTATATGTATAGTCAGCAAAACATTTAAGTTATGGTGGAAAGGTCATCCCCCATTGTTATGTATCGCATACATTTATATTTATTTATAAAAAAATATAAAAATGCTTCTTTTTTTATTTCACTTTGTACTTGTTTCCAAGCCTATATTTTACTTGATATGTATACTTTGCAAAAATGTCTGGATGAATAACGTTTTTTTAAGAAAAAAAATGGATACAATAATATTTGTTATGGAAGAAAATACAAGTTTCTGTTAACTTTAACCATGTCATGATTGGTTATTTTAAACACCAAAAGAGTGAAACCATCTTACCTTCACTTTGACCGGAGCAGGCTCGGATCTGGTCGGTTGTCCCAGGGCTCTGGACGGAGGGATGTCGTCTCCGTAGCCGACTTTGGGCTTCTTCTTAGCGGCTGCGGAGGCGTCGGGCTTCTTGTTCAGATACGATGAAGCGAAATAAATGGCGACTGCGGTAAAAAGGAGTGCGGGGATGATGACGGCCGGGTCCAGGTCCATGATGGAGGATTTACGAAAGAAATATTAAAGAGAAAAAGTTACAAACGTGTGCTATCCAGGCTGCAGTCACACACACTGAGCTGCATCCCGCCTCCAAACACAATCTACCCTCAACAGCTGACCACTCAGGGAGGGGCTGTTTCAAAATAAAAGTCTAAAGGATAATGTTTTGCCACTTCAGAATAAAAGTCTGGTTTTGAGCGATGTTACCTGCCAGAATATAAACAGCATGGTAGAGATCAGAGATCAGATAAAATAATACAGTACTATTAGTTATTATAAATCAGCTGTTTATTATGCGGTTCAACGGATAATTCTCCCCTAAAGAGAATAGGGAGGACACTCCTCAGATGTCTTAACACATGGGACATCATATAACAGTACACACACACAAATCAGCTGTTTATTAGGCTGCAGTTTAAGGGATAATTCTCACCTAAAAGAAATAAACAAGATTGTCTGAGGTGGTTTGTAAACCTAATGTTGGGGAATCAGCAGTTTCTTTAGTAAGTTGCTTTTTTCTGCAACTCTGTCGATGACCAAGTCATTGTCGAGGGACATGAGGATGTATTTTTCTGTTGACATAAGCATGAATGCTTCCAGGTGTTCTTGTGACTGTGTGCTCCTTATTCGGCTTTTGATGTGCTTGAGTACAGAGAAACTTCTCTCACAAGCTACCTGTGTCACAGGCAGAGTGAGAAGAAACTTGTATCCTAAACCAAGGAGCTGATAGGCATCTGTGAAGAGTAGTGCTGTAGCGACGCGTCGACGACGTCGACGCGTCGACTTCAAAATATCGTCAACGACATATTTCCGCGTCGACGCGTCGCCACCATAGACTGTATATATGGTCGCCACACACACGTGGGTCACCCAAAGCAACAAGCAGTTCGCAATCGCACTTCTAACACAATGGAGACTGAAACGGCTATCACCTCCTCCTCACAGGATTGCGCACGAAGCCCCCAAACGAAAACATCTCGCCCTAGGTCTTCAAAAGCATGGGAATATTTTAAAGTTAGTCCAAAACGCAAATATATTTATATATTTATATCTCACTGAGACTGCTGCTTGACCGGAAGCAGCAGCTAGCTGTGGTGGCAACCATTAGCAGCTAGCATTTGCTCTCCGATTTTTACATAAAAATGGAATTATGGATTATAAATTCAATAATTTGTTTATACATAGACGTTAAAAACCTATGGATTAACCGATTCAGCCGCGTTTTTCTCATTTTAATGCCATTGAACACAGTGGCGTTTTCTCCCGGAGGCCAAGGGAAGCCAGGCTTCCCCTGTTTTTTCGGATTGTAGTTATAATTTAAATAAATAAATAAAAACACTTTGTTTTGTTTCGATAATTCTCCTTTGCTGTGTGTTGCTGCCGGCCCGGCTCTCCCCCATTCTCATTGAGTATTTTACAAAGAGTGAAACAAACAGCGCCCCTCTAGATGTTATGGTGAAACAGTAGATTGCACTCACTGTTGCGAGAGGAGGCCAGCCGAATCTAGCTTCCCTTGGTGAAAAAAAATGGAGGGATTGACCAATCAGATGAGGCCCACGTGATGCCCCTGCCAACCTGTGATTGGTCAGGGCCATGCCAAGGGAAGCTAGCCGCCTCTTGCTTCCCTTCAGAGGCGGCTGGCGGCTGGCGATTTGATTGGACACTGCCATCCAATCAAATCACATCAACATCAGTTTTAATACTGTAACTGTCATCACCGCCGTTAGAAATTATCAAGCAAATGAAGCATTATGGAGGGTGGAGATTTGGCGTACTTAATCAAACATAACTTTACTAAACTTCCGCTACAGCAGCAACTAAAAATTAAATCAGATGACAGGCAAATGCCCGCACTCGAGCTGTGTGTACGCAGAGGAAAAAGGGAGAGAATCGGACGTTCAATGAGGACAATTATGTCCGCACGGAGTGGCTAACTGAAGCGCTAAACTTCAGCGTCTAATTTGCTGGACATGTCTTCTTTTTGACAAGGATTCGTGCTCCCTGAACAATCCTTGGGCAACTTCAGGATTAATCGACCTTGCCAACCTGTCACGGGCAATTGAGAGGCACGGTAAATCCAAAAATCACATAGATTGTGTGATTGTCTGCATACATTAATAAGTAAAATGCTTAAATTAATAAGGAGAGTTTCAGCTGGAGAGTGCGTGCGGACCTTTCGGTTAGATAACAGGCGTGTGCAAGTCCTGCATCTGTGTGATACAAATGTGTGTAAAATGATACCGGGCGCTGTAATCACTCATCTGGTTACGTTATTGACCACCCCCCGACCCAAAAAATGGGCTTCCCCTACATTTTTCCCCACGCCACGCTACTGATTGAACACGTCTTTTGATCAGATTGACAGCTACGGCGGTGAGACGATCTCCCTAGAAGCTCTGTGAAGGTACGTGTTGTGATGACTGTATTTGCTTCCCCTGTCGCGAGTCCGGATCACTCAGTGATGATACTATGTACCTACATAATCTGTGGAGTCTCAGCTTTAATCGGATATATTGTATGTGCAGCTACGATAAGTAATAAGGGTACTTTTATCTTGAGTTCTGTGCCAATGTCCGTTAGCATTTTTCGCTCAGGGGTCATTTAGATAGCATTTTAGTTTGCTTCTCATGAGACTTGTGTTTTGTTTTGGTAAACATGGTTTATATCGTCAGTTAGCTGAGATTATTTCCGTTAATCTGGTATAACACATTAATAGGTTCTTAAATATTAAGATCCCCTGAGACACAGTATCGTGAAAAATGTTTTGTTTACATTACGTTTTTTATGAATTGAACAACAGAAAAATAATCGTTCGATTAGTCGACTAATCGATCAAATAATCGCCCGATTAATCGTTTTCAAAATAATCGTTTCCCCCCAGCACTAGTGAAGAGGTTGTAGCGTTTCAGAAGTTGGTAGCAACATATTGAGCATTCTTTACAAGAGTTGCACTGTTTGTTTAAAACCTCTGTCTCTTCTTCCTCACAACCAGAGCAAATTCGTACTCTGTACTCTTCAAGTGCAGACATTTTAAGCCGTGGCCACTGGGCTGCCAGACACTTCAACTCAGACTGCAAATTTGCAGCAGTTGCCCTGCTGTCAAACCTAAGCAAGCATTTGCTTAGATCTTGAAATGTAGAGTCAGGCAGAGCTTCTGCTGAACACACTTGGGGAAAGTTTCTTGGATCAAGGACAGCCAAGTCAGCATACAGAGTGCCGTGGGTCATGAAGCGTCGTTTGATACTGTCTGTGACAGTATCCAGGACCTGGTTATGGACCTCTACTTTATAAACCCTGTTTGCATCTGTCAATCTCTCATCAGTTGCCATTTCGCCAGCCATCATCTTCCTTTTCCTGTTCCTCTTCAGTGGAGGTGTTGTTTCCAACTCAAGCTCACAGTCCTCTTCTGCCTCCAGTTTTGCATTTGCCCACTCAACAAAAGTATCAGCAGCTGTCTTCACTGTCATGAAATCTCTTGTCATGTTCATCAGTGCATGTTGAGTGTCCTGAACCATCCTGTGAGCAGAGAGGATATCTAGTCCACATGTCTGCAAGTATTTTGAAAGAGGTGTTGTCACTTCAAAAATCCGAAGGAAAAGCTGGGCAGTCAACACTGTCTCGTACCTCAGGAGCGCCTCTAGGAATCCTCTTGCTCTGACACGCACTGCAGTTTTCAAATTGGCCTGACTTTGAAATTCACTTAGTGTCATGAAGACATCAATGTACAGAGACTGGTCTGGCTTTCCAAATGAGCCAAAGATCTTCTTCAAGGCTACATCTTTAGCCCACCACCGTGTCTCTCCAATTGGGGAGAGGCGTCTGTGTCGAGTGTCCTGGCTTTTATGCTCCCACACATTCATTCTTTTGTATGACTCGCGAATGAACACATTAATGTCATTCATGAGGGAGAAAAGGGACCCACTAGCTATGGACACTTCAGTTGTATCAGACAGAACAAGGTTTAGCACATGTGCATAGCACCAAACATGTACATGGTTTGGGACTTTGGATGACAGGAGTCTGATGCAGTTGCTGATATCCAAATCAAAACGATCCATTACATCTGTCAGCATCTGGACAAAATATTGGCCAGTGGATGCTTCACATTTGACCACTGCAAGAAGCCTTTCCTGGACAGTGTCTGTGACGTATCTCAGAATCACAGAACACTGCTCATGGGACGTAATGTCCTGGGTTGTATCTATTTGTACAGAAAACATACCGCTTTCAGCAACCTCTTTTGCAATGGTCTCCTGAATTAGCCTCTGCACTGTGGAAATGACGTTGTTTACAGTTGTTTTGGATAGGAATGTTACAGCAGAACCCCGACCTTTAGCCTGTGAGTGTGACTGGTGCATCTTCTTACTTTTTTCTGTGCACTCAGTGATATGTTCTTTCAGACACACATCATATTTTCCAAGAAGAATGATGAGCTCTAGAAAATTCCCATGGTCAATGTTGTCATCATCTAGAGTGTATGCTGCCTCATATTCCTTCCCTCTGTAGCCAAGTCCTCTCTTTCCTATGAACTTTACTACATCTACCACACGTTCCAACACCTGCCGTTTATTCTTCACTTGATCTCTGTGGGCCACTACTTGTGATCCATGTAGTAGGCTGGCTATGTCTGATTTGGATGCTGTCAAAAAGTAGGCCTCCGCACACATTCTATGCATGATGGTCCTTTCGTGTTCCTCTACTCTCTGACTGATATGGTTCCAGTCCTGCATGCCACTTACAAAGGGATTGTTTTCAGATGGCTTGGCAAATGCTCCACAATACAATGTGTGGTTCTCTTCACAGTATGTGAGCCATTTTCTATCTGTGCCGTTCATGCGTTTAAACAGTCTTTGTACTGTCAAATATTTTGTTTTGGTCTGAGGGTGATAGGAAAAAAAACTATTGAGACTGTGATTGTCGGAATTTGGGCGTTGGAAATACCTCAGGCTTGAGCTGCCGTGTGAGTGGCTGTCATCCTCAGTCCTTGTTCCATCCTCAACCTATAGACAATTATAAATTAATGATAAAAATAATGTTAATTATTTTTATAATACTATAGGCTACTACTTGAATTAATACTTAAATGTTGACAAGTAATACACTTTTGTTTAATCTATACTTTTTTTTAATATAGTCTATTACACCTACTCTCAGTTGTATTTATTTTATTGCTTGCATGAGCAACACACCACACACTAACTGGAAACACTAGGTTGAATATACTTGTCTTCTCTATAGTACTTACCACCTCTTGCTCTTGCCCTGCACTTGCATGTGCCAGTTGAGCTGGTTCTTCCACCAGCTCAACTCTCTGTCCCTCATGAACGCAGGAGGCTGGCTGTATATATGACCTCGCGCCCTCATCATTCTCTTCATCATGCACTTGTTCTAAGCTGCTGCTGGTGATGATAGTGCTTGTAGTTGTAGCAGCGGCGCTGCTGCCAAAAAGGTATGTCAATTTGCGACATTTATTAGCATTACCTGCGAGTGACTTCACCTTTTTTTCTCTTGCCTTCTCGGCCCCACCTTTTTCTTTTCTTTTTCTTTTATTTGTATCCATTTTTTGTCATTCTCCCTGTCTGCCGCGGCGTCTGTGTGGCCGGTCTTTTTTCTTCTTCGTGTGTGATTTTTTGACAGATAAGAAACACACAACTGCATTAGCGGCCGCTGTCGCCCTCTGTCGGCCGGAAGCGCAACTTAAATTATGACGTTAAACAAAAAAAATTAAAGGGCCGGCCGTCAACGGCCCTTGTCCACCGGCCGTTCTGTGGTTTTCCAGATTCTACAGATGGCCAGTCCGCCCCTGCTTCGTAGTGCACTGATCGATTAGGCTAAGCTAACCTGTAGCTGCTCCCTCCACACTCACAACAACTTCATACAGACATAAATAAAGCAGCTGTATTCGCCACACAGGAAACACACATTTAAAACGGGTTTGCCTGCCGTTTTTGTGTACACAAGCATTCATCAATGGTTTGGAAAGTGGCGCTGTACCTTAATAATATAAAGGCTTGTATTTGCGTGCATTTCCTGTTCGGAAAGTGGCGCTGTACTGAGAGTGGAGGGTGTCCTGAGATTAGCGCCTGCATGCAGGCTCCATGGAGCTGTCAGCTCCGGACTGCGCAAAATGCGTACATGAAGCGCTACGTCATGAACGCAAGAAATCTACCCTCGTGGGGGCGCGCTCATGTGATTGGCTTAGAATTGAGGAGACATCTGATTGGTACGGTGGCCCTGAAGTGCAAGACACCACAGTATTTCAGAAAACACTACAGCATTTCAGAAAACGCCACAGCATTTCACAAAACACCACAGCATTTCACAAAACACCACAGCATTTCACAAAACACCACAGCATTTCACAAAACACCACAGCATTTCACATTGGACGGAAAGGGTATTCCTTTAGGGAGAACACTTCTTGTTTGTTATTGGACAGAGCCAGCCAGAGAAGCACTGCTGTGATTGGTTGTTTTTGCTGCCAGTCAAGAAATGACGCTTCGTGATTGGTCAACACCCGACAGCGAAATATCTCCCAACGGTTTTGATTGATTGATTGAAAAGTTTATTAACAGCTTGTATATTGGGTACAGTACAGCTCAAAACATACAATTGTTAAGGGGATGCAGACCAGAGAAAGACTTTCGTCTTGTTTACATCAGGGTCCCCCATTTCCAATTCATCATATCATTTAAGACATATAAGACATATTTGACATACAGATGGCTTATTTACAATTTACATACAGGTGTTTTTTTACATACAGATTGCTTGTTTACAATTTTCATTTTAGATTTCGTTCTAATACATCCCAACACATCAGCCGTTAGCACCCACTCAGAGCTCACAGCTCCTCATATCTGTTCAGAAACTGGACACAAGTTATACATGTACAAACCACAGACTGTCTATGTCATGGTGAATACAGTCGCTGCTTTATTTATGTCTGTATGACGTTGTTGTGAGTGTGGACGGAGCAGCAACACGATAGTTTAGCCTGATGGATCCGATTCCATTCAGAAAACACGCATTTTAAAAGCTTTTCGCCTGCCGTCTTGTTTGCAGACTTGTTAAAGCGTTAATTCATGGTTTTTACTAACCGTTATCAGTATGTAGTTGCTTCGGCATCACTTTTAAACGTGTATTACAATTAAATTACGGTCAAATATGTTCATTTTGTTGTAGTTGGTATCTCCCATAGGATTTACATGGAGATACGCCCCGCCCCCTCTCCAGCGCGTCTTGTTTGAATGACAGGAGCGGTGAAATTCGAGCGATTAGAGCGATGCGAATATTGGGTAGTCTACCATAGTATTTACATGGAGATAAGCCCCTTAAAAACCATGAATGAATAAAGCATTAATTCTGTGTTTACTCCTGTCATCCAAACAAGACGCTGGAGAGGGGGCGGGCCGTATCTCCATGTAAATCCTATCGGAATCGGATTGATCAGGCTAAACTAACATGTAGCTGCTCCGTCCACACTCACAACAACGTCATACAGACATAAATAAAGCAGCGACTGTATTCACCATGACATAGACAGTCTGTGTTTTGTATATGTTTAACTTTTGTCCAGTTTCTGAACAGATATGAGGAGCTGTGAGCTCTGAGTGTTTGGCCAATCACGAAGCGTCATTTCTTGACTGGCAGCAAAAACAACCAATCACAGCAGTGCTTCTCTTGCGGCTCTGTCCAATCACAAACAAGAAGTGTTCTCCCTAAAGGAATACCCTTTCCGTCCAATGTGAAATGCTGTGGTGTTTTCTGAAATGCTGTTGTGTTTTCTGAAATGCTGTGGTGTTTTCTGAAATACTGTTGTGTTTTCTGAAATGCTGTTGTGTTTTCTGAAATGCTGTGGTGTTTTCTGAAATGCTGTGGTGTTTTCTGAAATGCTGTAGTGTTTTCTGAAATGCTGTGGTGTTTTCTGAAATGCTGTGGTGTTTTCTGAAATGCTGTAGTGTTTTCTGAAATGCTGTGGTGTCTTGCACTTCAGGGCCACCGTAGATTGGCTATAGATAGAAATAATTACAAGTACGAATCGGCTGACCGTCAGGGGAGTCTCAAAAAACCCACACACGAATGCACAGCGATCCGTGCACAGAAAGTGGTTTGTGTTTGCAGGTTCAGAGGTTTTAAACGGAAAACAAATATGTGAGGATCAAAAATACACATGTAAAACTTTTTTCTGTATTTGGATTTTATTTACATGTATATGAAACGGAACACATTTGTGTGTGCATTGAAAAACACAAGTGTGGATCCGGAAATACAAGTGTGAATCCTTTTGCAGATCATGAAATACAAGTGTGAATCCTTCTGTGCGCATGTGTGTATTATGAGACTGTTCTAAGCCCATAGAACTTCGGCAGGCTCGGGTTTCGAATCCACCTACTAGCTACTGTAGTGACAACTCCTGTCATTTATTGCATCTCTGCTTGAATGATTAGATAATTTCACCTAAATTAAATCAGATTAAATGATGTTGATGGTTAAATTAGCTTCACATGTATGATGTAGGCCTACTGAGTTCTGAGTCAATTAGATTTATAAAGGCCTTGGGGCTATGTTGTTTGATTTCATTAAACATAATATATGCACTCCACTATGCTGTTGTAGTATTTACTGTATCTGAAGCTCTTAATATGATTGCTCATATTTCAAGCCATCTTTTTCCCGGCCCCTTGCTTTGGATCATCAACCGGCCCCATTGCAAACTAATTGAATAGCCCTGACTCTAGACCCTAATGAGTATGGAGGACAAAAGCTGCGAACAAAAATTAAAATAGAAGACCCAATGTTCAAATACATATTAAAAACAAAATAATAATAAATAAACACAAATAATATTTTAGTTTAATTTTCTTATATATGTATTTACCTTCATATCTATATACAAGTAAATACTTAAATACAAATGTAAAAAAATAATATTGAAATAATGTTACAATATTTTTACAGCACAAATTAAACTTTTAATTTGTGTATTTTTTCTGTTTAGGATCTTTAGGATGAGATGAAATAACTTGTTGAATTTTTAAATTAAAAAAAACTCACCACCTTACCAAAATGTAGGTCATGAACAGTCCCAAAATAAATACTTAAGTTAAATACATTTTAAAAAACGCTCAAACAAACAAGTTTGGAGTCATAGAAAATAGTTTATTGACGAAAGAAATTACATTTATCATCTCAAGGTCTGTCTGAGCTCCTCAGATTTACTTTATTAACATTGCAGACAGGATTCAGAGAACCTAAAGGCACCATGTGAGCGACCTCAGGGACCAACACGGTGCCTTCACATTAGTTTAAAAACAAATAAAAAACAGAAACCTCCCAACAGACAGACAGACAGTCAAACTTACAAACTTTCTTTAGAGGCACTTTAGTCTACAGCAACATTTTACAGCTCTTTTTAAAGGATTTGTAGAAAAGCTTCAAACGTCTCTTGAGCCAGGCGTGGATCAAGAGATTTTTTAAATCAAAAACTGGTCAGAAAACCAAGTCATTTTTCAAGCAAAAAACGGTTCAAATCTCAGTAAACTGAATGTTTGGGTGTTGCGCAAAAGACATTTAAAGACGTTAACTGTTTTCTGATGTTTAATATATCAAATCAAGATGTTTTCTTTAAATAATTCTGCAACCTGACTATTTTCAGTATTTTGTATTAATCGACTGCTTTTTTTCTCGGTCGTGTGTGGCTTGCTTAGTCTTTCCTACATGTTGTGTGAAACGGATTTGAACTGCACGTTATTTAACATTATTAATCATATAAAAGTGGGCATGAATGCAGTATTTTTGATAGACTTTTTCAAACAAAACAGGAATTCTCCATGTTTAGACTGTTTATTTTCCCCCCGTGGCTTTAGTTTAGGTGACAGAACATGCATGTTGAAACAATTCATAAACACTTTCAGTAAACTATTTAACCTTCTCTGCTTGCTTCTTACATAATAATGACTTTTGATGAACTCAATCTCAGCAGGTATTGTTTTCAAAGCTGATGGTTTCATTTATAATCTTGTTTATGTGTTTATTTGCTGCTATGTGGAGGTTTCCCCACATCATTACTGCTATTTTTATGTATTATCTGAGCCAATAATCCTGTGTATCTTTTGGTTACTGCAGGTTTCATTTAAAGTATTACTGGTATTTTAATGGGATACACTGGTCTGTAGAAAGGCAGCAGTTATACAAAAAAAAAAGTGTTCCAAGAGGTCCAGGTGACATCTTAAATGTCTCGTTTGTAGTCCTCAACTAAGAGATTCCGTTTGCCACTATAGAAGAGAAGGACATCGATAAATAGTCCCATTTTAGAAGCAGACCGAGATGCGAGTAATCCAAAGCAATTAATTGATCGCTGCTAATTAATTTGATGTCTGTTGACTAACGTTTCAGCTCTAATCGACAGCTAATCAATACATCAAATTATTTATTTGTTGATATTGGATGTGGTGTTGAATCTGCATCATCAATTAGTTAGCTTCTTCTTCTATTCTTAACAAGATGCACAAACTGATTGATAAACTAAAACAAAACACAGCAGTGCATTCTGGTTAACGTAGTGCCCTCTGCTGATTTTTGTTTTGCGACTGCATAAAAATGATTAGCCTCAACATTTAGCGCCAGTTTCTCCCATCTGCAGCATTTTGGCACAAAGCAGGCAGAACATGAAAATGGCAGAAACGTTTTCAGTTAGCCGTTTCTCTGCTGTATTTCATACAGAATTAACCATTCTTACATGCGCACATTTCCTTTAAACGTTTCATTTCTTTAAGGCTGGCTGACTGAATCACACTTTCAATTCTCAATGTGAAGGTTAATCACCAAGGCAGGTAGAGGAGCGACACAACCTCCAACCATTCTAAGGAAAAACCACCAGTTATACGCAGAAACAACATTTAGAAGAGTGCTTTCTTTTTGTTTTGCTTGAGCGAGTCTCTAGTTTCCCAGTGATAACGTGATTGGCTAACAGCCAAACTCAGCTTCTCATATCACAATATTCTCTAGGATTTTCAAAATGGAGCCTAATTTCTCAAGGAACAGTCTGGTTCGGAATCTCACGTCATTTTACGAGTAAGTACATTTTTTAGTAGGCTCCTTTTCATAATGATAATAGACATGTATAGTAACAATATGAGCGTGTCGGGGGGGTAAAACCAACGCATTAAAGAACCATTTCCACTGCATGGAACGACTCACTAGACTTATTTGTATGTTTTCTCTAAATAGTCACGTAAAAAATTCCGCAGACGACTGATTGGTCTGAGAGAACCGTCGTTAGAGCATCACAGGTAACAAACAGGTCATTGTTTTTAATGCAGCCGGCAAACATGCCTTCACTAAAGATGTACAATTTTCAAGTGAAAAGGAAGTTCTGTGAGTGAAGCCGTACCGTGCGGGAGAAATGCAGCTTTAGAGGATATTCATTGATAAAGGTTTGCGCGTTTAGCAGCTGCAGCGCTCCCACTCAAAACTGTCCCCGTAACTCACCTAAACACGGGAAATAGAGTCCAGGTTAAAGTTGGCCTTTAATATGGTGTACAGAAATGCGTCTGTTTGTGAAGGTGGTCCATAAGAGGGCTTGGCAAAATATCGATAATGTGATATGAGACTAGATATTGTTTTATATTTTGGATATTGTAATATAAGTGGGGTCTTTTCATTGTTGTAAAGCTGAATTATTTTATTTAGATTAACATTTCTGAATTTACCAATCATTATTTGCCTTTATCCACTCCCTCAAATCCACATAACTATTGATTATCAAACACTTCAGAAATGTTGATATTTATTTTTCTTAAAGGAAGTGTGTTTTCTCTCCTCTGGTGGATGGATGTCATGTTTTACAGTTACACAAATGTTCTCGTCCCTTTATTTCTCACATGAGAGAGCAGCTGGGAGACTTTTAAAACCATGTGTCACGCTCCTAACCTTCCCCGGAGTGTTTACTGCGGATAATCTCTCTGTACAGACACAAACATTGATTGAAAGCACAGTGACAGGTCTCCTTCGCTTCAGACCTAAAACCACAAAGGAAGCATCTTTTTCTGTGTGTGTATGTGTGACAGAGGTCGGAGGTCACCGCGATGAGCTCCTCTCCTTGCTGACGCAGTCGTCCTTGCTGCTGGTGTCTCCGTTGGCCACGGTGCCGCAGGTGCGTCTCTTCTTCTTGCGATGGGACACGGGGTCGCCCTCGGAGCCCGAGGCGGCCTGCGGGAGGACAAAGTGTTCAGAGCGCTGCACCGTGTTGCACCATGTTACATGCGTGTCTCGTGTTACGGTCACATGTTGACACCTGTTGACCGCTTCAGAGCGCCACGTGTGATGCTGACAGGATTTATATAAGCAGGGGTCGTCACAGCGTGTTCACACTGCAATGTCAGCAGGATTGCAACACTTATATTCAATTATCAACTTTATTATCAACTTGAACCCTTTAACTCCACGTGTTTCCGGTTAAATCTACTGGTAAAAGCACTTTAACCTTCTATTCAACTTAAAAACCTTTTAAGTAGATATGTACTTTAGTGAACCCATCAATCCCACATATCTAATTCAACTTTCAACACTTAAACTGAACTTTTTATGTTGCAATTTACCTCTTTGCTCTTTAAATTAGATTTGTATTAATGATTCCAAATTGGGGGATTCTGGAAGTTCATTTTATTCAGCCCTTTATCTTTAAAACACCTAAAGTAAAAACGTTATCCTTAGTTAAAATGTTAACCCTTTGTTTCAACATTTGACCCTTTAAGATAGTTGAAAGATAGATAAGTATTCCTTTATATTAGGGCTGCCCCCTAATGGTCGAATAATCACTAGTCGACAAATAAAGTCTTAATCGAGCAATTTTTCATTAGTCGATTAGTTGAAAAAAAAGAAATTGTATAAAGAAAAAGTAATTATAGATTTTTTTAAAAGACATGCACCATCCGTGTGCTGCATGTGCTATGACGCGCCAGCCGGAAACCCTCAGACTTCATTCCGAGCGGAGCCTGGTCATTAACTGAATTTGGTCAGCAGGAAATCCAAAGTGTGGATCTACTTTCTGAGCGAGTAAAGGCAAACTACGACGGCAAAAAGTCTCCTCCATATCCACACCATCAGAGCGCAGCTTCCTGAATGCCGGCTTCATAACAAAACACGGAGCTTAATTATCCCCAACGTGTGTTACTTTCTCAGACTCGGAGGAAAACGGCAGCAGTGAGTCGGGCAGTAGCCTAGCTTTGTATCAACATATATAGACCTATAATATATCATCATTCTGACCTCAGAAAACGATAAAGCTTTCATTTCATGATGAGCGATTTTTGCCGACGCTTATATTTTCAGTGTTTCCGTTTCCTCTGTAGTATTTATTGGGTTGTTATATTCAGATATGACTAATAGAAACTAGAACTAAATGTTCCGTGTGTGTCCTCGCTGCTTGTTCACACACACAATAAGAATCCTTAGCGGAGCTTCTGCTGTTTATACCGCTGCGTCCGTGCGCTGTGACTCATGCGCTCTCTACATTTAATTTATATTTCAAAGGTTCATTATTAGTTTGATTTTATATGTGATAATTATACTTTTTATTTTAATTCAATTAATTAATTGTTTATATCCCAAATTTGAAATCAAATTCCGACAGAAATGTAATGTTTTATCCTCTTAATTAACATTCAGAACCGTCATTAATCTTCTAAATTCAAAGTTCCAATTTTGAAATTCTTTAATTCAACCCTTTAAAACTTTTTATTCAACTTTTATAATCCCTAACCTCAACTGCAACAAGGACAACTAATTATTTTGGAAAGTACATGTGTTTGTCTCGGATAGACCACTTCCTGGGTCTGTATTCATTTTGTTCTGACGATAGAGAGGCTACCACAGGATAGTGCCACTTTTGACAACGTTTTGAAGTTGTGAAACATCTCTCCCAGCTCAGATGTGAAGTACACGCTCTGAATGTTAGATTACATTTAGCCATCCCGGGGGGGGCAAAAATCCTGCAGCATGTGCCCCCCCACAGCAGCAGCTCATCATAGAGAGGAGAGCCCCCCCCCCCCCGAATGACTTTACAGTTACGGCAGACCGCCCTCAGACAGTGTTCTAATCCTTCAAAATGAAGCACAGACATCAGATTTTGTCCATAATAATTGACAATTCCAGTGATAGAGCAAATTTATAATCTGCTACCATCGGTGCATGTCTGTGCATCCCTACCTTTACTTCAACATTTATCTCTTTACATTCTAAATAATTAGGGTGATTGATATCAATCATAAATGTAATATTCAGTTTGTTTTGTATTATTAGCATAAATGAAACCTCAGTGTGTGTGTGTGTGTGTGTGTGTGTGTGTGTGTGTGTGGTGTGTGTGTGTGTGTGTGTGTGTGTGTGTGTCTGTTTGTGTGTGTGTGTGTGTTTTAGCACATACATCAGAGTCGGAGTCAGAGGAGCTGGAGGAGGACGATGAAGACGAGTCACTGGAGCTGTCTGAGGCGATGCCGGTCGACTCCTGCAGGTCCACTTTGTCCGCCAGCACTGCCATGTCGGGGCGCTCCTGCTTCAAGATCCTGAAACAACCACGAAGGAGCTCTACTTTACAAGATGAATAACTGCATCATAACCAATAAGCATTTCTTTAAGATTACAACTTTATCTGAGCACAGAAACATGCATCCACATCAAAAAATATCACACCTTTTTCAGATAAAATACCGATATTTTGATATTATGACAATATGCATAAAAATAACTTAGGTTAAGGACATCTCCAAGCAGTTGACCAATCACAACAGAGCTGGCCAGCTAACCAATCAGAGCAGACTGGGCTCTGGTTCCAGACAGAGGGTGAAAAGATGTGCTGCAGCACAGGCAGTATGAGAACAATAAAGAGATTGAACATTAGAGCATGGAGACATGTCCCAGGAGACTCTACTGTGACATGTCTCCATGCTCTAATTAGTAGTTTACCGAGTAGAGGCACTCAATACAAATATGAACCTGAAAATGAGAATAATATGCGCATTTTAAATATTATTAATTGATTACAACACTGCTAGGGATAAACAAGAAGAACTATCACTATTGCGTTCAAACTGAAAGTGGGCAAATGGTTAGCAGCATAAGGGGAGTAAAGCTAAAGTCTTGTTTACTTGTGTGTTTCTGAACTCTTACCGGTACCACTTCCTAGAGAGTTTGGGTCGCCCTCTGACGGTTTTGTGCCACACGATGGGGAAGTTGGTCGAGCTGGCGAAGTTCTGAGTGATGGCGATGGTCGTGTCCATGTTGAGGACTACGTGCCACCACCCGCCTGTGGACACACAGCTAGTCACCGTTAACATCAGAAACAAACACTAGATGGCACACCTTGCAGCACTGCTTCCATGTTTTGTCTAAATGCTGCAGCTGCTCTTTCCTCAGTTTAAACATCATTCTTAGATTGTTTACTCACATGTTGTCAGTGGGTGCTTAATGAGTGTCAGGGATACTCATTTGTTTGAAAAAAATTAAATCTTAAAAAAAAAAAAATCAAATAAACGTTTTAAGATGATACAGAAAATTAGAAGAGTTGATAAAAAGGCTGCAAATATCAGTGAAGTAAGTGTTTACCTGTTAGAGCTTGTGTTTAATGGGAAGAAATCTCGATGAATAAACACATTTGGATTATTTATATGATAATAATGCCAATAATGTTGTTGACATTACAATTTAAAAATATATTCTATCTGGTTAAGAAATGTTGAGAAGTTCCTGAGGAGAAACCTCAATTTCTGTCTAAAAAATAAAACAAATCTACTTGATGAAATGTCAGTTCCTGTTTGAAGCTGATTATCAGATACTGACCAAAAATAACTTTTGGTACAGAACTCCTGAACATATATGGATTTATTGTGGATGATATTTGTACAGAAATCCAACAACTACCATTTGATTTGGGCCAAATATTAATTCTTTGTGTCATAAGATTTTTACATAATTTATGACTTTATTTAGGACAAACATTTACTTTAATTGGACCAAACTTTTCATCCGCAAATATTTTATAAATACGTATTAGTGTAGCTGCTAGAAGATATTTAATTTATTAAATATTTGTGATGGAACAAAATCACATTCGCCATCGAAATAATAATAATAATAATATGATAATGCATATTTCCCTAAAATGCCTTTTCGTTGTTCATTATTTTTTTGATCCCGAATGTTCTTTAAATCTAATTATTAAATCTAATAGAGATGGATACTTCTGTAACAAACTGTGGGGGGAAACGAGTAAACAAAGCAAGAGGGTCAAAACAACAGCCAGTGTGCTTTAACAGACACACAGGTCGGTGTTTGGTCTGTGATGTAATCTACTGTCAGACAGGTGAAGTCTAAATCCTGGGATTAATCTTGTTAGCATAAATTGATGTGAGTCTAGGTCACCGAGTGTCTCTCTGTTGATACACACAGATGTACACACCACCAACACTGTGTGGTGAAAACAATGTGTCTTTAATGTATAATATGTTCCATTTATGCATTCAAATGTCGAAAAACATGTTGTATATTTTGTGGAGTTCTGTACTTACATCATCCCAACTGTTAAATTGTTTTCAAACCAAGAGAAATGTGTAATTTGGATTAAAAGGATTTAAGGTATTGAAGCCATTGAAGGTAAACCATTTAAATGACAGAGCACATTCCAGGTGACTCATCACTTCTAAGAAAACTCAGATTTGGCCCATTCACAATTTCAGACTTAAATGTTGGGCAAATGTCCCTGAATATTACCCCCAACATGTCTTACCTACAATCTCCTTAATACAGGGGTGTAGGGATGGTATGTTTTGGTAGTCTGACTGGGTAAGCATCTCCTTTGTTCCCTCCATCATCAACTGATCTCACGTCAGTTTTAAGTCTCCTAGGAGAATCCTTTACAAGATCATTGGGACATGCTTATGTGAAGGTATTATCAATTATTGGTTTTAGTGTTTTCATGGTTGAGATTCTGATGGAGAATTATTACGTCTTATAAAATGATGTTTCTTCACTGACCAGGCACAAAAACGGTCTCCCCGGGTCTCTGGAGGATCTCCAGCGGTGTGAACTCTGGAGGCCAGCTGGGCTGCTGCGTCCGGGGATACACCACGTTGAACCAGGTGATCGCCTCGTCCTGCTGGTTGCCCCCTTCCTCTCGGGTCACCTTGATCAGCTCACGGGGCGTGTTGGTGGGGAACAGACACCACCTCTTGTGTCCCTGAACCAGGGCGTTCCAGGCGCTGGTGCCCAGTGGGTCGATGTGGATGCCAGTGCCGGAGCGAGCGGGGCCCATTACAAACCACCTGTGAGGGGACCAGAAGACAAACCCCGTTAGCGGTAACATCATGGCTTCGGTCGATTAGGAAGCAAAACTAATTAGAAATCACGTCCTTCTCCTAATCTCTTTTCCGTGAACTGGATGAAAAATGTGAAAAGGAAAGAAGAAAAGAGACTGCACTTGGGCGATGTGAATGAAGTAGATGTGCCGTGCTGAAACCTCAATACAATTTTCTAAAGATGGATTACTAAAAGCGCATCTAGACACTTCTTTCTTGTGTTTTAATGGTGGTGATCCATGTGATCTATATGAAAGTGGAAAAAAAAGTGAAAAATAAAACTTCATTAGCACTTTAAAAAAAAAAGAAAAGGAAAGTGAAAGTAAGTGGTGGCTCGTGCTCATGTCCACATGTATTGCACCAACATGATCGTTGTATCGATATATTGTTTTAGGCCAGTGTGACGTCATCGATGACAAACGAAGGCCTCGCTGCCCGGCGATACCACGGGACTGCTTCAGATAGTGCTTCAGATCGGTGGAACCACTGACACTTCAGTTTTACAACACTCATAATTAGGGATGCTCCGATCGCCAATGTTGGGGCCGATCGCGTGGGTGGGGGCTATGGGGGTCTTCCATTTAAAGTTTAAAACTCAGTTAATGGGGCTCATTCACTGGCGCTTCCACATTACATTTCCATATTACATTGGAAATAAGTACATTATTCAAGTTTACATTAACTTTGGATAATAACACGGGAGAAATGAGCGGAAGCGCTCTCTTTTCCTCTCTCTCCCTCCTGACAGCCTGTCAGTATCTGATGCAGCTCACTGAAGAATGAGTGAATGAATGAGTGAAGAATACATATATTTAGAACTAGTTTAGCTTGTTCCAGAGGAAGATAAAATAGTTAAGTGTGTTAGGTCTAACTCTTAGTGTGTGTTTGGCTCCGCTCACCGGTACGGACCGGTGAGCGGAGCCAAACACACAACACACAGCGGGTGGAGCAGCAGGATTTCTGCTTCACACACGTTGCATAGCGCTATTTTATTGTCTTTTTCTGACACCTTAAAATACTGCCAGACTGGTGAAGCCATTTTGGCGAGCTTGCTTTGCCGCACAGAGAAAAGTGTCATGTATTTTAAGTCATGTGATCGGCTCTCCCGATCGGCCTTTTTAGAGAGCACCGATCGATCGGCAGAGAGTGACTATCGGCCGATATCGATCGGCGGCCGGTCGATCGGAGCATCCCTACTCATAATATCCCTCCTGTACCCGGGCCCGGTGCCACGGTGGAAACGGAACAGCTCAGACCCCTTCTGAAGATTGTTTGTTTGTTTGTCTCACTTGCTGATGTGTGTACTGTGTCGGTCTGTGGGTGTGTGTGCAGTAACGGAGCTGGGGCGAAGCGCAGCGGACTAGATAGACTCAACCCTATGTTGAGGTTGGTGGGCGATATGACGATATATATCGTCGAGACGATATTAGGTCTCCACGATATGCCTTTTCAGAGATATCATATCTATCGTGATGGTGCACCAGGGTAGGATTTTCACGGCGGCCGTGAAGCCCCGAAAATAATTGTACGTCCTACGGCCACCATGGCCTGTGTGCCCCTGATACTGTTAAAATCTCGAAGTTGCTTTAAAAGCGTCAGAACAGTGGTTTCTGAACTGCGTTATGCTGCGTTCACAACGGACGCAATGCGAAATATTCTCACCCTAACCGCTGGAGTTTCACCGCGGCTGTCAGCTGTGTTTACTCCTGTCATTCAAACAGGACACGCTGGAGAGGGGGCGGAGCTTATATCCATGTAAATACTGTGGTGGAAACCAACTACGACAAAATTAACCTATTTTACCGTAATTTAATTGTAATACACGTTTCAAAATGATGCCGAAGTAACTACATACTGATAACGGTTAGTAAAAACCATGCTGTCTAGTCAGGATTCAGACAGTATTGCACTTCATTTATTGTCTTGGTTGATTCTGTTGGCTTATATTATATTTTATCAATAAGGTATTTATATTGTTTTTCCCTTTGGAAACAGATGTTCAGTTATTTAAAGTCTTGATTGCACTTCAAGTCTAAAGTTTACATTTTAATTGTTTGGCACTGACTTTTCCTCATTGATGTTTTACTTAGTTATGTTTTACTCTCCTTTTCATGTTTATTGATGTTACATCACTGCTAGTGCTACCTAAAACAGAAAGTGCATTTTTATACTGAGAAACTGTGCCTTGAATATTTTATTTTATTTAGCAAGAGAGTGCACTTTACTTGGTGAGTAAACCAATGTTAACGTTTGTTGTAGGGTGTAGGCCTACCTACTTGAACACTGAGGAAGCCATATCAAAATTCCTGTTGAATTGTTCATTCAGGGATTCATTGCAGAATTAAAACCAGCTTGAAATGGTATTTTGGTCTGTTACTCCTTTTTATTTTAGTTTTTGTTACCTTGTAGGTGGTTGTACGGTTAAAGGTGGGGTAGGTAATTTTGGAGAAACCAGCTCGAGTGCGCTAGAATTTGAGAATACACAGCCGGAAGAAATCTGCCACTTCCTTACAGAGCCCCTCCTCCAACACACACGAACACGCACATGACCAATGAGGGCACGAGATAAGTTTGTGCACAGATGGAAGGCTGACAGGCAGGTAGGCCAATTGGCTGGAAAGCTTCAAAGCTTCACAAGGCTTCATCTCGCCATCAATACTAAGAACGTCCTATTGTAAACTTCGACAGTAACGCTCAGCTGAATGAGGCTTCATACTTGGTGTAGAAGAATTGGGAGGGATGAAAGCGTCTTTAATGGTCACACATGCAGAGCACACAGCACAGCACACAGAGTGAAATGTGTTCTCTGCATTTAACCCATCCTAGTACCAGGAGTCTAGTACTAGGAGCAGTGTAGGATACAGCAGCAAGCTTAGGGACGTATTTCCCTCTCCGGCAACAATAGGAACTGACGTAACTTTTTGTAAACATAGTTTCGAATCAGTGCCTATTACATGATTAATATGTATGTGTATATACACACATATTAAATAACCTTCGAGCTGTTTGCATCAGTATGCTGCCCATCTTATTTTGCGCAGTTTACTAGTAAATGTATGCACAGAACTATTTGTACACAGCATGTTCCATGATCTATCCAGACTTCCTGTTGGAGGGTTTAAAAACATCCTGTGTCTGCTAGTCGGTTTGGAAATGCACTTAATGTGTCGAATTCGCAGACTGAGTGGCATTGGAGAGGGAGAGGAAATGCAACTGTGCAACATTCTTACTCCGTACTGGTTTATAGTCTTCTTCTTTATCTTAGCAGGCCCATTGTGGCATATATTGGTGTCTTATCACCATGTATTGATTAGTGAAATTGTGTAACAATTGGTAGCACTGTGTAAAGTTTGAACAGGAAATCAGAGACCCACTCATTGATACAACTCATGGAGGTGAAATGTAATTATCTGGAAAGTGAAATGATCTGACCTGTACGGTGGTCTGCGCTTCTCCCCTGCAAACTGGAACAGGTCGTCCCTGAAGAAGAGCGGCACCTGGTAGTCCTCCAGCAGTTTGCGGCGTTTGGCGTGTTCACCGTAGCTGCTGTCGAAGATGTAGAGCGGGCTGTCGTCCCTGGTGGTCTCCAGGTACTCCATGTAATACTTCATCTTCATCTTCACAGAGTACCCATCGTTGTCCTCCCCGCATTTGAATTTCTGGTTGCGGTATTTGCGTTTAAGGCGCTCAAGGGTCCACTTTTCCCGGGCAGGCCAGGTCTCCTGGCTGCTCTGCAGGACAACAGGCTTGTAAGGCCGCTCGAAGCGCCGGATGAACTCTTCTGGGCTGAGGTGGAGCGTGTCCACTCGCTCCACATTATCCTGTAACACAACAGATATTAGTAAAACATGGAACGGAATTTCCAAAATCATCACATACTCTTCTGTCCATCTGGATAACAAAAGGGTTCAACCTGTTAAATTATAATACATCTTCTTTTTTAAATATATATTTCCCAACCTTTGAGACAGGACATTTCCAGCTTCCATCTCTATTCTATGTTCGGATAAGAGCTTTAGAACAATATCGTGTCAACAAATTGTGAAAAGTCCTCCGATTTCTTTTTCAAATGTGTAAAGGTAATTTTGTTTTTTTCATGTTTGACTATTGATCTATTTGAAACTACCATTACATCGTCACTTTACCTTTAATACACTTTAACGTAGTGTGTGTCCATCTATCTTACATTTAGCACTTTTTATATCTTAAGTATATATCTATTCGCCAACTTACAACACATAAATAATGAGCATTGTTGGATGGAGCCAGATTTGTTGGTACGATTTTCTTTGTTATACCATAATTGTGCATTTCAGAATAAATAAATACATTAAAGTCCATTAATATAAACACATGTATTCCATCAAACAGCTTAAAACAATTAAGTATGTGATGAAGTATGAATAAAGGGTTCAGAGTCTGAAATTATACTAAGATTCACTTTGATTTTTTTTGTGAAACCCCGGCTCAGTGTGTACGTGACAAGCTGCACACCTACTGTGGGCTGCGGCTTGCTAATGTTAGCTTGCTACATTGACAGTTTACCTTCACGGTGCGGTGTGACAGGTCATACGTTTCATGATAGTTGTATTTTATCCAGTCTAACGAGTCCTTCAGCTCGGGTCTGGCGCTCCGTTTCGCCTCTTTAATCCTCTTCTTACTTTTATGGTTCATTTCTCCTCCGTGTGTTAACCGCTTCTCAGCTAGCTATCGAGCTATCCCAGGGCTAATGCAGAAATACATCCACTAGCCTGCACTGCAACCCGGCGGCTAGCTGCGCTGTTCTGACAGCCTCACCTTATGTATTTGATTAGATAACAAAACAATTCTGTGAATGTGTTAAACACGTCCTCAGATCTACACCAACACATGTAAAGACACTTTTTAAAACCTGCTTGGTCGACACACTTTTGTTAAATAGCTAACAAGACAGCCTAGCTAGCTAGTGCTGGCAACTGATTGACATCCGTAGCGCCCGCCTCTTTTCCGGAACAGAAAGCTCATTGGCTTCGGCGTCCGCAAAAGCAATACGTTTATTTGATGGGATGTAGGTGAGCCTTCCCGCCAGGCATTAACTGTGATTTGATTGGCTGTTGCAGATAGCAATACGGAACTAGACATAGCGTGGGCTGCAAGTGATGAACATAAATATAAATTAAATTAGTTAACAAGAAATTGTTTTCAGAAAAAAAGAGTCGTAATAATAGCTGGTGATGTTATATGGTATTAGCCCTCATGATGGACCACAGTGAAGCCGAAACACCTAACATAGCATACAAAACATTTACGTTTGAGGACAACAACGAAAACACACAAGAGTCCCTTTCTGTTTCAATACCTGAGGTACGTTGGAGTTTTTAAAGAACATTATTATAATACAGGTAGAGCAGTTGTGTTTATAGCCCTTCGGAAACTGACTTTGACGGTAGAGTCTTCCCTTTAAATCATCATACATGCAGTTTTATTATAACGTTATTTAAATAAAATGATAACTTGGATGATTGGCATCTTTTTAACTATTAACGTATGGTTAATCTAAATGAACGATGTTATATACGTGGGTTTTACCTGCTTAGACCGCAAGCAATTGTAATTATATACATTAGACCCACTACTTTTATTCGGCGTTAATAAAGTGTCCCAGAATGCATTCATTAAAGAACATTTCAACCAATTGGATTGCCTCTTCACGTCCACCAATCAGATTACAGTTTAAACGCAGCATACCGCAAAACATTGTATTGGATGATGTAGAGTCCGATCTTTAGGCGACTTGATTTTTCAAAAATCTTGAGCCAGCCACGTACACATGAGTGATGTAATATGCAATTCATCTTTAAAATGTTGAATTTATAATGTGATATCACCATTCACTAACTTGCAGTCAAACTATGATCCACACTCTTAGGTCCTGGATCCACACTATGGCATGTATGTGTGGCCTTGTGCAGTGGTGCTGGCTCAGTATCTATGGTCACAGAGACAGGAGCTGAGAGACAAGACAGTGTTGGAGGTGAGAAGAAGAATTTCAGTTCACATGATGTGATCGTTCTTATTATACATCCATGGATGTGATCTATGCTGCCATTTTGGAAACCAGGACGTTCACAAGGCCGGTTAAAGTGGCTTGATAGACAAGTTTGATCTTTTTGTAGTCAAACCCAATTCAGTCAACATGACATTTACCTTTTTCCAAGCATATTTCCATGCAGAGAGATGAGGTGACTTAGAACAGAACAATGCCCTGCCTTTTGGTTAACACATGACAAAGCATTATTTATTTTTATTGCATTTTCAATGGCGCAAAATTCTTTAACTAAAAATAAGAATTAAAGGTGAATTTTGATATCTACCTGTTTCACTTTGTATTTTAACTTACACTAATAATGTGTTGTTTACATTTTTTTAATATCACTAATCTTTAAAATGTACAATGCCGTTTTAGGACCATTGTAGATTCAAAAGAGTTGGCGAAGGGGGGTAATATTCTTAGAAAATAAATAGGAATTTCTAACTTACAAGTAAAACAGGTAAAACATTATAATAGATAATACACACATTTTGGAGCAAAATATGGAATACTGTCTGAGGTAATAAGGTCCTACATTTTCCAAAGAAAAACAACGTATTGATATAAAATATGTTCTTAGAAAAAGACTCTGTATATTCTGAGATTTAAGTGATATATTCTGGTGAAAAAAATCACAAATACATGAATGATCAATCAATCAATCAACAACTTTATTAATCCCGCAAGGGGCAATTGGTTATGAGCAGCAGCTTATGTCATGTACACAGGCAGGAACATAAAAGAAGAAAACACACAGATACACCCGGGAGCACAGATGTGGATAATTCCAATTTACACTATAAATAGTTCAAAGCATCACAATAATAAATAAATAATCAAGTTAAAAGCCTTTTCAAGAATTTAAAAGTTTGAGTGCAGAAGGGATGAATGATTTAGAAAAGCGATTAGTCCTTTGAGCAGGTAGAGCATATCTACGCCCTGATGGCAACAGACGAAATTCATGTGAAAGTACACGACCTGGAGAGTTCAGAATGCTCTCGGCTTTCCGCAGAATCTGTTGGTTACAGAAGGAATTTAAGTCTCTCTGTTTCACGCCGATGATCTTGGAGCAGGTTTTAACAATGCTGTTCAGGCTGTTCCTGTCTTTCAGTGTAAGGCTATGGAACCAGCAGATAAAAGAAAAACAAATAAGGCTCTCAATGAATGCTTGGTAAAAACGACAAAGAATGAAAGGCCTGACAGAGAAAGAGTTCAGTTTGTGAAGAAGGTGCATTCTCTGTTGACCCCGCTTCACAATACACTCAGTATTCACATTAAATTTGAGGTGGTCATCGAAAATGGTGCCCAAGTATTTGTATGATGTGACAATTTCTACCTTGTCATTGTGTATGATGCACTCCTTAGGAACATCCTTGTGACGAATAAAATCAATGATCAATTCCTGGGTTTTAGAGACATTTAAATCCAGAAAACTGTCATCACACCAGGAAATAAAATCGGCAAGAGCACACTCGTGGCCTGATTCTGAGCCGCTAAGGAGGGACAAGAGGGCGGTATCGTCAGAGAATTTAACCAAGTAGCTGTTGTCTTGCATGCTCCGGCATTTATCAGTGTACATTATAAAAAGTAGGGGCGAAAGAACGCATCCTTGAGGCGAGCCCGTGGAAGTGATGACAGAGTCAGAGAGGCGTCCATTGACAGACACCTTCTGCTCTCTATCAGTTAGAAAGTTTAAAATCCATAAAACAAGTTGATCGGGCAGTTTAAAATGACATAATAGGCTCTCTACCAGGAGATGCGGCTGCATTGTGTTAAATGCTGAAGAAAAGTCAGCAAACAAAAGCCTGGCATGGGCTTGTGGTTTTTCAAGGTGTTTGTGGAGGGTGTGCAGTATAAAAAGCTTTGCATCCTCTACGCCTCTCCCTGCCTGATATGCACATTGTAGTGGATCAAGTTCACCACCTACTACTGACATGACAAGGCCTTTAACAATTTTTTCAAACATTTTCATTACCAATGACGTTAAAGCCACCGGTCTGAAGTCGTTTAGGACTTTAGGATGAGGCTTCTTAGGGATGGGAATTACAGTTGAGGATTTCCACATATCAGGAATTTGGCTATTCTCAAGTGACAATTGGAAGATATGCTGGAAAACACCACAGAGTTCGCTAGCACAATACTGGAGTGTACGCCCACAAATATGGTCAGGACCTGGGGCCTTCCTAATATTGACTCGTTTTAAGAGATTCCTAACATCATCCTGTTCAATGACTATGTCTGAGATAGGTGAGAGAGACTCTCTAAGGGTTGAGGTGTTTATGGAGAAATCATTTTTCTCGAATCGAGAATAACATTTTTTAAAAGCATTGGGGAGGTCTGCCTCATTTGTTCCCTCAATGTTAATGGTATTCCTAGCCCTGTCATTGTTGTTACCCTGGGAGATGGAGGACATTGATTTGATTCCCCTCCAGGCTTCCCGAAGATCTCCACTGCTGTATTTGAGTTCCACCTTATCCCTATAAACTATTTTAGTTTTTCTTATCTCATTTCTTAATTCTCTGTTAATTTCTTTTTTGTCCTGACTGTTTCCAGTATAAAATATACATTTCTTTCTATTTATAACACTCTTTAGTTCCTTCGTGACCCACGGCTTATTAGGGAAGACGGTAATGTCTTTACAAGGAATGTTAGACTCCACACAAAATGATATGTAGGATGATACATGTGTGCGAGAAAAGAAGCAGGAATGTCATGGGATCAAATGTTCCAATTTACATTTATTTTTGTCAACCTTTGTCACCTGCTGGCAGAGGTGGGAGTAAGTCATACATGTGCAAGTCATGAGCAAGTCTCAAGTCTTAACCTACAAGTCTCAAGTCTTAACCTACAAGTCTCAAGCAAGTCCCAAGTCACTGTGGTCAGAGTCAAGCAAGTCAAGTCATTGCTCAGGTCAAGCAAGTCACAAGTCAAGTCCAACGAAATTCGGATGAATAACCCCAGTTTCCACATTTAAATCAGTTAACATATTGTGGTTATGAAAAGTTTAGTTTTATTTTCAACATAAACAGCAATGGAGAGTGGGGCGCTGAAATTATAACCCTATAAGTTCTAAAAGGGCTCTAAAGTGATAACAGGAGTACAACACAAATATTTTACATCAACATGTTAAGCCTCCTGCCCTGGCTCCCCTTCAGCAGAATCACAGCATTTCTCCATGGTCTGTCTAAGGTGCTCCCATATGACACTGTCTCATTGTTTTCCTAACTGTCCGTGCACAAATAAATATTGCATGATATGTGTGTGTTTGTGTGCAGACAGTGCCACATTAAGATTAAACACATTTCTTTCTATTTGGGAACACACCGAATACACACACACAGAGCAGAGGCCTGTACTACGAAGCCGGTTCAACCTAACCTGGATATGTTTGAGTTACCCAGTTTACCTAATCCAAAACAAACACGCTCTCGCTAAGCGGTCCTACGACGCTGGTTATCAACTCGTTAACTCAAGCCAGCTTTGCCCTATCTAGTTATGTGCGCGTTCACATAAAAGGGGCGGGGTTAGCAACATTTGACCAATCGCAAACATGGAGAAGCGTACTGACAGCGCAGCGTCATACTTCCTGAATGAAAAGTGAACTATAATATTAGACAAATATGAAGACGTTAAACTTTAAACATCCATCACTTAAACACTTCATCCAGGATAAAAACCACATGCAAGGTGAATACAGCTGGTAAAAGAAAAAGTGTTTGAATGCGCTTAACAGGTTTCTGATATCACTGCCCGATCTAAGACACGAATGGATCTGACTTTAATTACATTTGACTCGAGTGTTTCGTCAACTTAATGTGTTGCTTAAAATAATACTTCTGCATACAGTATGTGACACTGTGAGCGTTGCACGGCCAGATGCGGCTCAAG